TTACCAAGTATGTATTCTCCAGCAACAATCTTTTATGTATTAGTTACTCTCCTTACATAGCATTTATAAGGACAAGACTTGCCTGCCTATTGCTGTAAGTCATCCCTACTTAATGTTTAGTCCAATTTAATTATAATTACAAAATTAAGAAAGTAATAAATAATAAAAATAATTTTTGTAAGGAATAAAATTTAATTACCATTTTTGTGATTTTTTACTTATTACTTTTTAAATTTTATAATTACATATTACGGGTTAGTATGAATGACTTACCTGTCAATGAGTAGGCAAGTCTTGTCCTTTATTTATCACTTTTCATATTACCGATAAGTAGGAATGACTTACTCTTAAGTGAGTATGCAAGACTGTATTACAAAACTTATTTATTTTTTAAATAATATATTTTATATATTTTTATAAATGTCATTGAAGTTAAAAATTTTAGATTTAAATATTTTCTACTCTCCAATACATGGTCCAAATGTCACCTTAAAAATTTCTACTCTCCAAAAACAGGACATCTCTTTTTTTTTACACAGAGACTATATCTTATTTGTTTCTATACCATATATATATATATACTTGGTTTTTTGTTTTTTTTTGGTAAGTATCCTAAAATTTCTGTCTATATGATTCTCATCATAAATTTCAAATTTTTTTTTTTTTCTTCTTTTGGTAAGTATCCTAAAATTTCTTTAGATTACAAAAAGGAACTGTATTTTAACTTGTATATATATAAAAAATAAATCCAAAATTTTTCTATTCTATTTCTATCCTAAGATGAATTTCCAAATGTTGAACTTAACTTACCAACAAGAGTCAATACTAGAGTAACCTTAATTAAACACTATAGAAAAAGGAAAATTATGCAAAAAGGTTTAGAAATAGAGAATAGAAATTTTACATCCTTCCTGTCTTGGTCTGTCAAGTACCCATACTTTAACATTGTAGCAGCAACGTATACCGCAACCCCAATTTTCTTACCAAACCTTTGACTCGCGTCCGTTACGCTCAGACCTCCAGCACTATGCCCTACCAATATCACCTACAACATGCATAATCCATAACCCACATGCATGTGTATGTAAGAATTCAAATTAATTTATGATAGTATAAAAAATAAAAATAAAAAACATGTAGTAATCAATCAAGGAGCAAAGGACAACCTTTTTATGATCACTCAAATTGGCCATGAAATTGAGAAGAGGCTTGTTGTAAGCTTCAAAAGTATGAATTTTACAAGGATCCGACCGGTCGATACCGGCACCTTTGAGGTCTAGACATGTGACCTTGCAGCCATATGTCTCCAAGAGGGTCCTGACTTTGTACCAACTCCAAGCTCCAACTCCATAACCATGCACTAGAACAAAGTGTGGCTTTGGGCATGTCCTCATGATTCTTCCCTCCGTTCTGATTCCTAGGTGCTGATGATGATGATCACTCGATTCACTTCTGTACCAAACACAGCAGGAGAGGAGAGGAAGGACAAGAAAGGAGAGGAAGGGAAATGTGAAAACCCTTTGGGACATTTTCACTCCAGAGCTAGCTTCACCTTCATATTCTCAACCATATAGGAGGTAGTCTAGTCAACACCTTGGAAAAGATAACAAAAAAGAAAGGACAAAAGAAAATAAAAAACAAGGGCCTGTCTGGTTCATTTTGGAAAATCTTTGTAATGAAATCTGAAATTAGAAATTAATTCTTTAGAGAGTTATGAAATAAAGGGCAAATTACAATTACCTCCCCTGTAAATAGGGAAAATTACTCCCGCTTCTCCTCTAATTTGGATAATCTTACTTGCCTCCTCTCCAGTTAATACCTTTGTGACAAATACACCCCTCTGGTTAGTTCCCGGTACGATCAAAGGCAGTTAATGCTGACGTCATCACTCTCTCACCCTCAAAACGACTATACTACCCTTGAAATATCTGTGAGGATATTTCTGTCCATTTAAGCTTATGTAAAAAGACATTCATATCCTTGCTTAAAGAAAACCCATGAAGCAAAGTGCCCTCATAGCTGCTATCTTTATATAATGTACAAGTTTTTTCATATATACATAACTACATCGCAGAAGCTCCTCATCGTGCTCCAAGGAATTTCTTTTCACCAAATCCATTGCAGAATAATCGAAATATCTAAACATAACGCCAAGTGTTTGCTAAATTGCCTCAGTGAAGTTAGGTTGAATTTGAAGCTCGTTTTTGCTTCAAAATTTGTCATGGCTCTCAAGTGAAAGTGAAATAGAGCAGAGGAAGAAGTGAGCAAGAAAGGTCTATAAGCTTCAAGCTAGACATGTTCCATAGTGAACAATATTACAAGGCTTTCAAGAAAACCATTCGGTTTTATTTTTCGCCATTGTGGCTACTTGCATGGATGACCGATATTTTTGTCCTGCTTAGCTATTCTTTGTTGGAGTTATGTGTTTCAAATTTATTAGTTATTAATTACTAAAACTCCAACTGATTCTTAAAAGATGTTTTAATGAAGTTTTAGTATGCTATAAATAAAGTTTTTTATACCTGATAAATTAACTTACCTTAATTACTTATGTATTATTTAAGTGAAAAATTAAGTATAACTTCATTAATATTAATTTATTATATCTCTACTTATACTAGTAGAAAAGAGAAGGCCTATGTAGCCTACTCAGGACACTCTCTCTAAACTAATTAGAGTGAATCAAAAGGGATTTGAAAAAGTGTTTTCAAACTATTGACTTTGAGTGTGTGAGTTTCATATTTTCAGTTGATTAGACGGAGATAAATACATAAGTTCATGAAAGAAGTGCAACATTCATGAGTATACATATTTGATATCTAGGCTTAGTTGAATCCCGGATATAGTGCTGTCATTTGGCTTCCGTTGCATATGAGAGAGGCTTCAACTATCTTTAAAAAGCGATTACGCACCTCTAAACCTCGATACTCACCGTTTTAATATATTGGTTCTCACATTCTTTTGTCTTGTATAGCTATGTTTTTCATGTTATATCTATAGTCATGTGAGAATATGTCTTTTTATCTACTTTTCTTGAATATTATCTCCATTTTGCTTTAACTTTTTCTCTATTTTCTTGATTGATTGCTTTGTCAATTTCTTACAAAAGGGGGAGAAATATTCATGATTAAAGGGGAGATGTATTCTTTAAGGGGGATATAATTTATATTTATTTTGGCTATATTTATTAACCTTTCACAGGTAGTATTGTTTAAGTCAACCAACGGATCAGTGGTTGAGTAGTATCAGCCTCTTACTTTTCAAAGGGACGTCAGGGGTTCAAATCTAAGAAAAGACAAGTGTGTGTGAGTACCAATTAGGAAAAAAAAAAAGTATTGTTTAAGTCTTGTGCAGATTACTGGTTTGATTCTTGAAGTGACTAAAGCTACTTGTGAAGCTACTCATGAAGATTTTTGGTTCCACAAATTTTTTTTTTTGTGGACAAAATTGTAATTTATATTTCTACTTAGGTAGATTATGATTTGTCTAGATGTTGTCACAAAATTGCCAAATGGAGAGATTATAAGTTATAAAAATGAAATGGGCATACTTCGGTGATCGAAACAAAGTCCGTATTGAGTAGTAATTTTTCCATTTTTTTGAGTCTCAGTTTCGGAAGCGAAAAATTCAACTAAAGCTACTCACGACAACTTCGGTTCGACAATGGACAACATATATTCAAGGTGAGTGTGTAAAGATCACTTAGTATAGGTTTGGAGTTGGATGAGAGCACTTAGGGTTTTTCACAAGTTAAACCGGTTGTATCAGTTTAGAACCAGTTACACTTTTTGCTAAGAATAACTCTCAAGATTTTTCCAACCGGTTTCATTTAAAATCGAACTGGTTGCATTTTCTGCACAAAAATAACACTCAGGAAAAGTAGAATGGTTGCATTTTAAATTGAACCGGTTGTATTTCTCTTGAACCAAAAAGGAAAGTTTTGTTTTTGCCAACTTCAATTACATTTTTTATCTGAATTAGGGGGATGTCTAAGCACAAATTCTAACCCTAATACGACTCTCTAAGTCTCTATATAAACTCACATTCACACACAATTTATCTCGACTTTTGCATTGAAGATTTCAAAACCCTAGAAAACATCTTTGTGTGAGTTTTTCAGAGTTTATTATTTTTGAGAACACACCTATACACTTGACTGATTTAGGTTGTTGTTCATCGTTCGATTGGTGTTTGCTTGATTGAATATTCCATTGCTACCGGTCAACAAGCAGATTCGTTTCTACTTCAAAAATTATGTTTTGAAGAAACGGAGGGAGCGATCACACTTTGAAGGGTTCAAAGCATTCGTGGAGAGTGTTGTTGATCAACCAGCAATCCTTCTGCAGCCAAATGCGTTTAGCGAGGTAGTTCTTGGTAGAGTGAGGGGGTGTGAGTATGAGTCCGAGTCTATAGTACATTGATTCATACATATATGGATCGTTTTGCTTAGGACTAAGAAAGTCCTCGAGGTTTTTTTCAAACGATCGGTCTATTATGCCAATCAGGGTGTACTCACTAAAATTCCAGTGTCACTCTAACTTTATTCTTTAGTTTACTTGCATTTATGTTTACTTTGTGGGTTGATTAATTTTAATTTTATTTTGGTAAAATTAAATAAATAAAAATTTGGGTAAATGAGCTAGTTCACTTATTCATCCCCTCTGAGGGTTTTTAACATTAAATTTCACAACCTATTCCGCATGGCTCAAGTCACAACTTTTGATTTTACATAATTTAACTCAAAAATCAGGTTTAAAATGTAGCAAATTTTTGTGAAGTTTTAAGATATTGGTGAGAGTCAAACTCTTGCGAATTAGAATATGTTACTTAGAATTTAATTACTACGGAGTACATTTTTATGGGCCGTGATCTCTCTCCACTTAGAAAGCTTTAGAGGCATTTTAATGGGCTGTGATCACTCTCCACTGAGAAAGCTTTAGATGCTGGCAATGACTTTATGTAATGATTTCTAAAGCTGTACATGCCTTATAAAAGAAATGTGAAAGTAAATTAAGCTGATTCAATTTTCATAGAATAAGACTCCATATGTTTTAGTATGGCCAAATAGTTCAATTTTATCAACTGATTAAACCATACTCCATTTTACAAGTAGAACTTTTTCTCATCATCATAGGAACTAGTCCAAGACAGCCTCTTCACGACCCTAACCATCTGATTTCAACCAGCCTCTTCATTATACATATATACACCTATATATTCGTATATATGCTGACCCAAGTTCAGTTACATTCGATGAAGTTTGCAGCTTTGACTAGCAACCCAGAAAGCACAAAAGGGTCAGAGAAAAGTGGGGCGTGACCGCTTTCCACAACATAGGTCTTCAATGGTGCCCACTTCCTTATCATAGCGGCTTGCTGCGCCGGTCTGAGAACATGATCATACCTTGTCATGATGTATACACGTGGCACATCATCTGCACCATCTCCTTCGAATTGAGCTCCTACTATTGCCTTCAATGGTGGTCCAGACCGGTGAAGCATCAAACCTAATACCTCCTCCTGATAGAATACAAATTGCGACCATGTTAACCACCAACTGCTCTAAGCAAATAACGAAAAGACCCTACAAATGTATTTATCATATTATTTATTATAAATGAAACAATACCGGATATGAAATTAATAGTTCTAGTTAGTAGTTATTGAGGTGATGGTAAGATTTGAACTCAAAAAGCTTAATAATTTCAAGAAATCTGGGGTTACCTCTTGGGGTCCTATATTAGCATTGATTTGATAGCGACTATGCTTTAAGGTGGTTGAAGGCTGATCAAGTCCCGAAACACATTTGTAGTTGTTCAAGTTGCTAAGTGCATAATATGGAATTCCCTGTTTCATATAATTAGAAGGGGAAAAAGAAATAAACAGAGTAAGGGAATTTCATAAAAGTTGTGTTATAATTTACAAATTTATATAAAACATGTCAGGGCAGTGGAACCAAATTAATACAAAGATTCAATGAAAGCTAAAAAAGCAATCAAACACAAACACAAGATATAATGCGGTTCAACAAAAATCGGTCTACATCCACGGATGAGAAGAGGTTCTACTATGATTCATAGCGATATTATAATATTAGAGTACCAACACCGTTTATATACCTTTTCACCATGTACCATTTCACGAGCCCATCTCCTTGCTATCAGTATCGGACACGGGTGTTTTTCCTACTCTACCAACCCATAAACTACCTCTATCCATCAAACTGTTGGGACTAACAATCATTTTTTATAATGCAAAGGTTTAATACGTCTTAAGTGAAAAGTTGAGGGTACGTTCATGTCTTCAGAAAGAGAAATATTGGCGAGATAACCTTAAACTACGGTCCAACCCATGCTCGGATTAGAAAAAATGGGCTTAGTAACAAAATGTAAAAAATATAAAAAATTATAAACAAATTTTCAAGAAACCATTCCCCAAAGCACTAGTACACAATAAATAAAAATTTTAATATATATATATATACATATATATAAAAGAATGATCAAATATAAAGAAAAAGTATTTATGATCAAATATAAAGAAAAAGTATTTTATAACCCATGCATACAAAAATATGTTTTAAGTTTGGCATGCATATATTTGTAAATGAAAAAAAGTCTAAAGTTAAAAAATAGTAAAACAAGGGGAAAAAGATAAATATGGCCCATATGGGCTATATTGTCTTTCATTACATAAAGGGTCGCAAACGAAAAACACACCTATGGTATGCATATAGAGTGTATAACCCCTATACGTTCTAAAAAGTCACTAACATTCAATTTTGGAGCAAATAAGGGCTTGAATGTTGAAAAGACTAAAGTGCCCCTCAATAACCGAATAAAAAATAGGTAAAAAAGCTAATCAAATGTGAAATAACTAAACTGTCCATCTTTTTATATATATAATATAGGGTTGCAAGAAAAAAACACCCTTATGGTATACATATGAAGTATATAACCCCTTGTACATTCTAAACCTCCTTAACATTCAAATTTGGTGCAAACAAGGACTTGAATGCCGAAAAGACTAAAGCATCCCTCTACAACTGAATAAAAAATAGGTAAAAAAAGTAATTAAATGTGACAAATGTGTGTGTGTATATATATATATATATAAATATATACATATATAAGGACATTATTAGAAGAGACAAGGGTATTTTTATAATTTTATATCTTAAAAATGTCACGTGCAATGCATATGAATACATTTTTAACGAAACAATGACATCTACTCCTTCTTTGTCACATTTTTTCAAACTTAACAGACTTACATACTCAAAATAAAGGATATGAATATTATTTGGTCAAAATGTAAATATTAAGAGTGTTTTTCTCACTTTGCCCTTATAAGGGCATTCGAGGAAGAGATAAGGGTGTTTTCAGAATTTTATATCTTGATAATGGTAACTTCAAGCATTTCTTTTGCTCATTTTTTCAAACTTAACGGAGTTAAATAAACTATAGGAATGTTATTTGCCCAAAATTAAAACATTAATAAGGGTGTTTTTCTAACTTTTTCCTTTTTATAAAATTGGATTTTAAAAAGTAAAACTTCAAAAAAAAAAAAAAAAAGTTCTTAACAAAGTTGTAATGTAAATGTTTAATCCAGAGAAAGAGAGAGAAAGTTAAAACTCACATAATGGAAAAACGGTTGACCAGGTGTCAATGGGGAAGACAACAATTAATCACAATACCAAACATACCAATATCACAAGGTTCATGGTATTAATCACATTATCAACATACCAAATATCAAAGCACTAATGGGTGTCAAATTTAAACCATATTAATAGAAACTTCAAGCCACAAGTATACAGTATATCTATCATCTATAGTGCAGATGCCTTCAGAAATTAAAATACCTCATTTGTTCCTATATAATTAATACTCTCAAGCCCTGCTTACCCAAAACAAAAAAAAAAAAAAAAAAAACTCAACCCCCTAAACTTATTTCATCAGATAATTAAAGAAGAGCTTTTTTTTTATTATTATTTTTTAAACTTGTATAAAAAACACAAAACTTAACAATTATAAGAAAACTATTGCCTACGTTGAATTCTGATTTTAACAAGTAGGTTCTATGAAAAATACATTTTCTTAACCGAATTTTCAAAAACTGATTTTCGAAACTCTTAACCAAACAAATTTTTGTACAATTTTCTGATTTTCAATTCTAAAAAAAAAAAATTAAAGAAATCCAGATTTTTGCTATTCTATTTCTATCCTAAGATGAATTTTCAAATGTTGCACTTAATTTATCAACTAATTTGCATTAGAGTCAAAACTACAGAAAAAGATAACCAAAACCCAAAAAGGAAAAAAAAAAAAAAAAAAGTACTTAATAATAGGTGATAGAAATTTTACATCCTTCTTGTCTTGATCTGTCATGAACCCATGCTCCAACATTGTACCTGCAACATATACTGCTACCCCAATTTTCTTACCAAACTTGCGACTTGCGTCCGTCACGCTCAGACCTCCAGCACTGTGCCCTACCAATATCACCTGCAACATATATAATCAATATGTATAGATGTGTGACTGTGTGTCAAATTAATTTAAAGGCCATTCAAAAAAGAAAAAAAAAAAAAAATTAAAAAAAAATCAAAGGATACCTTCTCATGATCACTCAAATTGGCCATGAAATTGATGAGAGGCTTGTTATACTCTTCAAAACTACGAACTTCACAAGCATCGGACCGATCGATACCGGCACTCTTGAGGTCGAGACAGGTGACTTTGTAGCCGTATGTCTCCAAGAGGGCCCTGATTTTGTACCATTGCCAAGCTCCGCCTCCATAGCCATGCACTAGAACAAAGTGTGGCATTGGGCATCTCACTCTTTTCGTAATTCTTCCCTCACTTATGACTCTTAGGTAATCAACATGATCGTCACTCCATTCACTTCCGTACCAAACAGAGAAGGAGATGACAAAAAGAACAAGAAAGAAGAGGAAAGGAAATGTAAAAACCCTTTGGGACATTTTCACTCTGGCGCTTGCTACAACTTCAGCTATATATATATATATATATAGATAGAGAGAGAGAGAGGACAAAAAAAAAATAAAACAAGTCTGTCTGGCTCATTTCTCGAAAACCATCTGTAAAGAAATCTGATAATTTTAGGAAGAAAGAGCAAAATTTAAAAAAAAACCCTAAACTATACAATTATTGCAAAATGCCCCTCTAAATTATTTTTGAAAGTAAATTACACCCCTTAACTATTAAAAGCAATTAAAATACCCTTTAAGACCGTGGAGACAACTTTTGGAGTGACAAATACAATTACTAATTTATCATTAATTATTAAATTATTATAAAAAATAAGAAATTCATGGGTATAAAATACCAATAATGCTCTCATTTTTTTATTCTATTTTTTTATTCTTCAGTCTTCGGCGCCGCATAAAGCCGAAGTCAAAGGCTGCGATCGCCCACAGTGATGCCGGTGATTTCTGCCGGAACAAAGCTTTGTGTGATCAACGGCGGTGGTGAGATCGGAGTTGGCTTCGGAACTGGCCACATGGGGTGAGAGGCGTGAGCGGAGGAGTTTCATGAGACTGGTGGTGAGAGCTAGTGAGGAGGCCATTGATGGAGCTTGTGAGGGATTCCGACAACAATGACTGGTAGTGGTAGATGATTAGGATTTCTTCGTCTCTTCAAACAAATATGTTGTAAGCATAGATCGCGACCCTCTGCAACTTCAGGCAATGACCCTCTGCAACTTCCGACGATGACCCTCTGCAACTTCTGGCAACACAAAACATCGATAAAGCCCTTGCAAGTCTCTCGGTGATACGAAGGAACTCTGGTAGCTTGTTTCGGCTACCATCGACCTGCCACACACTGAAACCCACATCAACACCAAATCGCACAGCAACTGAAGGATTAGAAAGAATGTGTATGAAGTGGGTGCATGTGAAGGATCAGAAAGTGAGATGATGTGAGAAGAAGAATAATGGAGGATAGAGAAAGAAATGAGGGTAAGTGAAGAAAGGAACCTGAATAAGTCAAAAGTGAGTTGGTGGGGGTAGAAAATGTGTGGAGAAAGAAGAAGTCAGTTTCAGTAGGCAGTGGATACACTTGTCCTTGATCGTTTGGCTGTAAATAGCCCCGTTCTCAAATCACAGGACAGAATCGGACAGTACTGAAGCAACACCAAATCGTACAGCATAGCCTCGACGGAGTTGTGGGTCTTGTGAGGGTATTATTGGTATTATATATATATATATTATATTTCTAATTTTTTTTATAATAAATTAAAAAATAAGGGTTGATTAGTAATTGTGCCTCCTGCCAGTGGGAAAGTGACTTCGATTGCCGGAAAGTGTTGTCTAAGGGGTAACATGCAACATTTCTATAATTAAAGGGTTAATTTATTTTCAAAAATAATTTAAAGGGGGTATTATGCAACAATAGTATAAAATAAAATTTTTTTTATGCTCTTTTGCCTTTTATGATCCTAAAATATCTTCTCCCTCTCCTAAAATATTAATGACATGCTAAATGCATTTAATCCATCCACCCACCAATCAAATGTTGGCAGAGAGTAATGGGATTCACCTTAATAAATGCATTTTAATTTATATTAATGACATGGTAATGCATTTAATCCACCCACTAATCAAATGTTAGCAGAGAGTGATGTGATTCACCTTAATAAATGCATTTATATATATATATATATATATATATATATATATATATATGTTTGTGTGATTTAAAATGGAGCAATCATATAGTATAACACACGGAGACAAAAAAAGAAAAAGAAAAAGAAAAGAAAAAAAAGAAAGTAAAAAAAAAAAATACAGGGTCTTTCTGGCTCATTTTTGGAAAATGATTTGAAATTAGAAAATATTTCTCACAAGAATTTAAAAGAGAAGTGTTTTATGAAATGAAATTTTTTCTTAATTCTATTTTTGTAGAAAAGTTTTAATTATTCTTAAGAAAATTAGACCAAACCATGTCCTCCCTGTCACTCTGATGGCAACCGGTACTGGGGTTGTTTTTTGGCCAGAAGTTCAAAAATTTTGGCCAGGAAAACAAATGCAGTCGGGTAGCCAATTGCGGACCCCACATGGTGGTTAGCCACATTTGGCAAATGCTTTGGGCAGACTCTCATAGAATGTCTATGTTTTATCTTTATGATTTTTTATTTATATTATTAAATTTGTCAATAGAAAGCGACAATCAGGATATGGTTTTTTTTTTTTAAGAGAAGAAGAGAAAAAATAATTCACTCTGGAAAATGAACTCTTGATAAATTTGTTAAAGTAGTAATCAAAACATAAGAAATTTTTTTGGTTCAATTGTCTGGCAATGACCGTATATAATGATTTCTGCAGCTATGTGCCTGAAAAATAAATGAGTAACGCAGAAAATACACAGAATAAGAAGAGTTCATATGTTTTACTACGGCCAAATAGTTCAGTTTTATAAACTAATTAAACCATACTCCATTACAAGTAGAACTCGTCATCATAGGAAGTTCAATATATAGACGCATTATACATATATTTGTATATTTGCTGACTTAAATTTCAGTCACATTCAACAAAATCTGCACCTTTGGCTAGCAACACAGAAAGCACGAAAGGGTTAGAGAGAATTATGGCGTGACCGCTTTCCACAACATACGTCTTCAATGGTGGCCACTTGCCACTTCATTATCATAGCGACTTTCTGCTTCGGTCTCAAAACTTGATCATACTTCGTATACACGCAGCACATCATCTACACCATCTCCTTCGAATTGAGCTTCTAATACTGGCTTCAATGGTCCAGGCCGGTGAAGCATCAAACTTAGCACCTCCTCCTGATGGAAAATCAACACGTAATATTCATGTTAACCACCAACTACACTAAACAGAGAACTAAAAGAGGTTAGGAATGTATTTATCAGATTATTTATTATAACATCGAACAATACGGGATATCAAACTATTAGTTCTAGTTTTTAAAGTGACGGGATATCAAACTATTAGAGAACCCAGAATGCATAATAACTTTTAAGTACAACTTCGGGCAATAAAGGACCATGCATATACATTGTTGTGGAATGGATGATCATGCATACAAATTGTTGGGCTTTTGGGTATCCAACTCAAAAGGTTAATATATTAGGTAAAGTGACCCTTGCCTCATATAAGTCCCACATTTCCTTGTTCAATAATTGATGTGAGACTTGTTCAATTACCCAATAATTGATGTGCGGCGTGTATACATCAGAACCAGGTATGATCAAGTTACCAGACCAAAGCAGCAACTCGCAATGCTAAGGAAGTGGCTGCCATTGAAGACCTATGTTGTGAAAAGCGGTCAGCTATAATTTTTTTATATTTTTTTAATCCCTTTTTGTTGGAATATTATAAGATATAGTTGTTCTTGTTATTTTATATATATATATATATAGATATATATATATATATATATATAGGTTGAATGTCATTATTACTTGGCATGTTTCCAAAGTATATCTTATTGAAATGGCAATGGGTATGGGTAGCTTGTGTTATTTAATGCTCTGATGATCAATGAATTAAGTAAATATCTCCAATAAATAATATATGTATACATTTCCCTTTTGAATGATCAATGAATTAAGTAAATATCTCCAATAAATAATATAATCTAATTTTTAAAAATATTTAAAATAGAAGAACACTTTTTAAATGTGAATCATCTTACCAAAGGCTTTGTAAGGACAAAGTGGACGTGTAAATATATTTTTTGCCATGAAATTGTTTTCAAAAAGGTATTTAACTTGAACATGTCCGGTAGATTGTCTCTTAAGCTTCATTTCAACTTAACTTCGATTCTTAAATGCCTATATATTTGGACATGTTTTACAATAAGTTTTTCAATATCTAAGGTTTTATAGTATGCGGAAAAAAAATCTTTTTGTTTTGAATTTCTATACACTCGTGATATTCTTTATCGATAAATGACAATAAAAAAATCTTAATTAATTCCTAATTGTTTACCTTACACTGCAACTTTTTGGTGTGTTTTGATATTTGATATTAGCTAGCTTTTTAGTCATTATGTGTCAGTTTTTAATTAATTAGTGATATTAAAATATTTGTTATTTGATCACTATATATGAATTATACAACAATTTGGTAGAACAAACGTGAACAGTTAACATGTATTGAATTCATTACAAAAAAACAAATATATTTCCTGTAGAGAAAGACCTGTAGGAGATTATTCGCGATTGCGTAACCCATCAAACATTGTTTAGGGACTATGCAAAAACAAATATATTTCTGATTCAGTTCATATACATATATTTTATTCAAAAGGGAAATGGATCCGTATAGGTTAAAAGAGAAATGTATACAAATATTTTTCCAAAGTACTTGAATGTCATTATTACTTGGCATTTTGTTCTATTTTAACTAGTAGGCTAAAAGTATCATCTTTTTTTTTTTTTTGGTTTTGTTGGTGGTTTTATCTAAATTATAGTAATGTATACATATATATTTTAATGGATATAAACATTAAAATCACTATAGTACAGAATAGATTTGACCAGATCCATGAAAAAAAAAAAAAAAAAAAAAAAATGAGTGATGGAGAATGAAAATTTCATATAAGTTGTCAATAATTAAATTACTGTTTTTTTGAATAGCTCAACCGTTTTTAGAAAGTAAAGTAGGTCATTGACTTTTGAAGCTTCTAGCCACCTCTGTGATCATCACAATTAGGAAGCCATCACCAGCTCTTCAACATCTAACTTAGCTAGTTTTTTTACTCTGAAATTAAGCTAGTTTTCATTTTGGTTCTTCCATCTTCTTCTTTCTTGATTTTTTAATGACTCACAGTTTTAGGTATTTGCTTAATTTTGTTAGGTATATTTGTTTTTCTCATACTCCATAGTATTGAAGGCTCATTAAGATAAAGGTTGTGATAAAAATTTCCAAGCACCCTATGTTACTTTGTTCTTTAATTGGTTGAAGTTTTCTCATTTGGACTTCGATGCCAAATAATTAGTTCTTGTTATAAAAGGGAACCGACGAACATTGTCGAAGGGTTGTGTAACCCAATGGTATTACCTCTCCATTCTTAGAGGGGTTCAAGGCCTTTGATACGGCGAATTTCTTACCATTTCAAAAGACCAATGCTTCAAAGACAATCTTTAAATAGACCACACTTCTCATCTCACCAACTATGTGTCAACTACTCTAAAAATCTTGAATGCTACTTTATTTTCGTGCACGGGTGGATCAGCCATAAAACATAAGTAATAATTTCATACTTACAACTAGGGCTGCAACTTGGGCGGGTTAGCCCAGCCCAGCCCAACCCTAACTCAGAAATTTTGAACTCTGGACATACAATTCACAAATCGGGTTATGTTCGGGTTGGGTTTTGTCAAAACCCAAACATATTCGGGTTGGGTTCGGGTTCAACCCGAACCCAACCCAAAACCCAATTTTTTTTTTTTTTTTTTTTTCTCTCCTTTCTCTTCTTTCTCTTTCTCTTTCTCTCTCTGCCGGAGATCTGGGTTGCTTCTTCTTGAGCCGTCTGGTCGTGGTTGTCTGATCCTGAGCCGGCCTCGATATGATGTTGCTTCTTCTTTCCGGCGATGGCGCCTGCCTCCTCGCCGGAGATCTGGGTTTCTTCTCCCTCGCTCCGGCGATTTGGCCAGAGGACGGCCGTCTCTTTGAGACCTTCGTAGGGCACTTCTTTGACGTTTTTTTCTTCGGGTGGCGGCGGAGGAGGAGCTCTGCAGTTGACATCAGATTCCGACGAGTGGTGGTGGTGATTTGGAGGAACCACATCTGGGTTTTAAAATAAATAAATAAAATTAACGCTGAGAATATTCGGTTTTGAACTTTTGATTATTGAAACAGATAGATAAACTGAAATATATAGGTTTTGAAATTCTGATTCTTGTAGATTTAGTACTTTGCAGTTGCAGAGAGAGAGAGAGAGAGAAGGCAAGTTCAGAGTTGGGAACAAGAATAGAGTTGGAGGCGGCGATTGGGGAGGTTGAATTGATTTGCCCTAAATATATATATATATATATATATATATATAATATAATATATATAAATTTTCA